TCAAGTGGGAGATTGTTGAAAGTTTGACTTATGCACCGAAAATGCAAAGATAATGTACCGAATGAAGTCAAAAAAGGGGGCGAGACTGTTAATTATTGAAAATTGGCAATGATAAAATTATAAATTTAATCCTTACACTTTAAGATATTTACAAGATTAGTCCTTAAACTTCAACTATAAATACCATAACCCATTTAGCTTCAAAATCATCTCAAATCATTCTAGCTTTCTCTCAATACTAGAGAATTTAGAGAATTTTCTTGAGAGTTGTTTTCTCTTTTTTATAAAGAGAGAATTGTTATTGTTTTCTCCTTGTTAGATCGAGAAAAATTATAATTCATATTTTCTCATAGTAAAATTTTTCTACCGTTACTGTGGTTTTTACCTTATATTATTTTGGAGTTTTCCACGTAAAATTTGTCTTCTTTATCTTCATTTTTATTTTCTCAAATTATCAGTTGCGATTTTGCTTTATCCGATAGCCGTATTCCGCAACAACATTAATATTTCTTACTTACAATTGACGACAATAACCATAATAAAAATAAATTAAAAACTTAATAATCGTACTATAAATTTAAAAATTTCAATGACCAAAATACAATTATCTGAAAATTTGATGATGTTTACCGGTATAATTATTAGCTTTTGGTACAAGTAAGAGATTCCAAGGTATAAAATATTATAAATACAATATTTCGTAAAAGGTTAACTCGTACATTGAAAATTTGTAATATTTATTAGTCACCAAATATTTCAGCCTTAATGTTATAATGTTTCGATTAATTAAGTAATTGAATACCAAAGTTTTAGGTTAGTGTGAATGATTTTTTTAGTATAACCACAATAGATCTTTTAATCAATAATTCTAATAGCGTACTGCAGAAGTAAAAACAATATTTCCAATTCAATTTACACCATTCATAAATTTTACTAATTCTGTAAAAAAGATTATGATGCTAAATTAAAACTTTACTGATGCCGTAATTGAGGATTATAATGTTTTTATTTATTTATAGTTTTGTTGGTTTATGGAGCACCAAATTTTGAAGATACAGTTGTTCTTTGAGAGTAAATTGAAGAGATTAATATTTTTGTTTCAAATGTAAAGTTCGGATTGAATTCGAGTTTAAAGTAAAAAATACCCGACCCGATAGATATATATATAACCTTATATATTTAAATATAATTACAATAATACTCCTCCATATATTATTTTTTTTAATTTATTTAATATTTTTATTGAATAAAAATATTTTTTTATTATTTCGAATCGGGTCAGATTTTTAAATTATATATCAGGTCAAGTTTGGGTCGTGTAAAAAGTTATTTTGATCCGATCAGATCGACTCTCGGGTGGATGACTTCTTGTTCTCAGGTCGAGTGAACAAAAAATACGATATAACCCAACTCATGGCCAACCCTAGTCGGAAGAGAAAGGTGATGGATTGAAGGATCAACCAAATATGATTATTTTCCAGAATTTCATTAATGCTGGTGGATATATAAAAATCAAATCAAATTAATAAGTGAATTATAAGACCAACGAACATGTATATCCAACATTCGTATCATATTATATTTAAATATATACTTATTATGTAATTTTATATTTATAAAATCTCTAGTCCAAGATTAAGGCATCAGATCCTCCACAGAACCATCTGAGGGCAGATTCATGGAGTCAAACAAAATAACCTTCACTACTTAGAAGCAAGGCCTGATCCAGATCTTCCACCATAGCCTTATAAATTTGTTAAAATAAAATTAGTTTAATGTTTCAGATATAGTAAATGGTTAAGGATTTCAACAGATTTTTCTCTTCGAACAAGAATTATGAGCTAATTAATTTTCAAAAGGGGAGGTCTCAAGCGTATATAGATCTGTGATTTCATCTCCGTGTAACCACGGAGGTTCATAAATCGAACTCTCAGAAAATCCATGGAAGCTGACATATATTTTACAGTTGAAGATCAGAGAAAGGATAAACAAACAGATCTGGTCAAATATAAAAGGAAAGATGAGAAAATTAGGTGAGAAGTAGCGATTGAACTTACCGAGCCAGGCACGAAATGGAAGAAAAGGATCGGAGGAGAAAGAAAATGGAGAGGAAGAGCCGGAAATCAGTGGAATGGGGGGTATAGGAAAGATTTGACCTAATCTCTTGTATGTTTATTTATAGATCAACAGAGAAGAGAAAGCATCTTTCCTAACACCCCACTCCCAAAAATTCTCAGTATCTCTCTCACCGCTTTCCTCTTCACCGGCCGTTGTTTATCCCCTTCTTCAGCGTTTAAGCTAATATCAATACTCGGCGATGCCTTTCCTTTTATACAAATTTTCAAGGACGCTGACGAAAGCCCTAGTACCCCTTACAATTTACAGATGTTTTTATGTGATGTGCTCATGTGGACGCCTTCGAGGTAGGCAGAATGATGTTTTTTTAATCCCTCAACTATGCCCAAAATATCACTTTAGTCCTATTTTCTTTTCACATATTTCTTGGGTATTTTGGTCGTTGAATACGTGATATTGGTCAAATTGTAGTTGGTTAGTGACCGACCAGATAAACATATTTTCCGTGATGATGAAAAAGTCAGTTTAGCCCTTTAATTGTTTGTTATGCATCTTTTACCACTCATATTTAACTTTTGTCAAATTGTTATTTGTTAATGACAAGATAAGCATATATTGCTGGATGGTAAAGGGATCTAGTCGCCATTTTAATTTTTTATTTTTGTTACCCACTCTATTTAGGGTTTTGTTCTAATTAATCTGGACCAATTTATTAGTTTTAATAAGCGAGTCTTTTTGGTGAAAATTTTTCTACAAATATAAAAATTTGAATTTAAAATTTACTTAAACGATATCAAACTGCTTATTACTTGTATCAACTCCATTAATCATTATTAGTGAAAGTATTTATTTTCAAAATTATATTATTACTTTGTCATTCTCTTTTGATGATGATATTTTATTATCAATAATAGTGCTTTTCAATTAAAATGGTGATAATATAATTTCCTCAAATTCTTAAATACTTTTCAATTTCTTATATTTTGGACATAGTTATCTTTTTTTTTCTTATATTTTGAACAGAGTTATCTTTCAAATAGTTGTCTTTTTTTAATTCTAAACAAAATTCAAAAAGATATTAACTTATTTTAGAAATGAAAAAGTATTTTGTATTGAACTAAAATATTAAAAAATTTCTTGAATTTTGAATAATAATTTATGTTCTTGTAATAGTTTTTCTATGCTCTTGTGAAGTAATCTACTAGGCAGTTTGGGTGCGTTGTAATTCTAATTCATTTTATTGTTTTATTAATTAAAATTCAGTTACAATTATTCAAAAAAAGTTGATTAATGTATATAAATACTTTTCATACTTACTATCCCACCAATGTAGGATATAAGCTTTCTATTTTACTCGATATAATTTACAAGTAGTTTATTTTGAACATCAATTTTTCATTATCACTCAACCATTTTATGCATATAGTATACCGTTATAAAAGCCTTGTGAAGTAGAATATAAAATCATAATTTATAATTCGAACCTCTACCCTTACCTATTAAAAATATGACTCAAAGTTTTCAAATATTCATTATTTTTCAAACAGGCATAACATCTCTAATGATGAAGTCGCCATTTATTCTCGTTGTCTCGGTAGTTGACATCTAACCCTTTAACAGAGCAAAATGTCGTCTACAAATTGTTCGGATTTAATCAATATACTGTTTTCTTTTCTCCTTTTTTTTTTATGTTTTTATGTTGTATGTTGTTTTTATTCGTTCTTTTGATCATGGGTTTGGTGTGCTTCACTCTCATCCCAAAAGTTCGTTTGTTGCTTGGAATGGTAGGAATCCCTACTCTTTTAAACTTTTTATTCGACCTTAGTCCAAATTTATTGTCTTATTATATTACGAGCCTCAATCAAAGATGTTGATGTGATTTTTCCATCTGTAAAAAAAGGAGGCGTAGTGACCAGGAGATGATCGGAAGGTAAATGACAGTGAATGAAGATGATAAGTTGTGAAAGAGGCGGTTTTGTTTTACTAAATGTGAAAATGAATTACAAAATGCTCGAGTCTTTAACTCATTACAAACAGTACTTATATAGCAACATTAAAACGAGTTTTACAGTTTGATCTAGCAGACTAACCAACATTTAACAAACTCAGTTAATTTTGACTAATCCAATACCAACTAATTACATTTTATTATATCATATTTCTAACACCCATCGCTGCAATCTCATCCTTGGATAGTTTTATTATGGTAAAAAAAATATAGGAACCTCATTTTATCTCTATATAGCTAAATGTGTCAAAATAAGAATGAGGTAATAATTCTTTGGAAATGTGAGGTTTTGAATCCAATGTTAGCTCTGGTGGTTAATTCACATAGTAAGTTTGGGCAGTAGAATTGATTTATTTGTGATACGCGTAACAGTAATTTACTCTGTGTGAAATGTAAAGAAGAAAAGTTTTAATGCAAAATTTCATCAAAGCATCCGATGTAAAGAACCAGTTACAACTTGAAAACGAGAAACTGCATGTTTAAGTATATGGAAAAAAAATTAACCAAGAAAAGTTTCAAGAGGCTAATGACATCAATATTGACTCCAAAGAAGTTGCTTACTTTGCCAGAATCTAAAAACATTATTACCATTAATGGTCCCTTTTTGGTTGAATTGTTGTTTGGGTTATCCCAACAAGTCCTCATGCGACTTGAAGTAACAAACATATTTTTAGAGACGTTAAAGACAAGGGTGAATATCCCTAATAACCTCAACAAATCTCCCACTATCCCGGAAAACAAAGCCTCTACTAATTTCCGTCCATAACCTTTTTTCCTTCCTTTTTCTTCTTTTATGATTTAGATTTCGAAATTTAATGTGTTCATACCTTCTTCAGTAAAAGCGTATTATTTTTTCAAAAAAAATATGAACATCTGCAGCCAGCAACCAATATTATAATCAGCCAATGGAGTAGGCTTACCTGATTCTGGTCTTTATGTGGCCAACGGACTTCTCCTGTTCAGTAAGTGCGTGACGAAAATGGCATCGATGACCGTAAGGACAGACATTACCGGCAAGGACCATCCTGCAGACCTCAGTCTTGTATCGAGGGTGGCGTATTACAGGGCGGAGCTCTTCAATACTATGAGCAAACTGGCAGTGGTCACCATATGGACAGGCACCAGTCTCTTGCCATTTGTTGCAGAGCTCTGTCTTTAACATGCCTTGGTTGTATGCTTCCAGTTCAAGTGACTTTTCTTCCTCCTTCCCTCCTTGCGCGCAAACCTTCTGCTTCATATTCGCCTATAATTTTAATCAGCAGATCTATTATAAGGATTTAACCAAGAACAAGAAACAAATGTAAATCTATTACTGATATTAATGACAAATAATATAAGCTTGGTTGCTTCTAAAATAATTCGTTGTCAAGACAAAGAAGGCATTCATTAAATAAAATAAAATAAAATAAAATAAAAGGCAATATAATTAATAGTTCCTATTCTGTTGTTTTGCTGCGAGAAAAATATTACTGGAAATTAAATGGCAGAATAAACAAAAATACACAATAGTAAACTGGAAATTATGAATTCGCAATCCAAACAGACATAAGAAGAAAAATTAAAAGAAAGTTAAAATTAAACTCACAGCTCCACTGATCTGTTGAGAAGCATTTGCAGTAGCGGCCCGAGTTAGTCCCCGAGTTTTACCACGATGGCTCACTGCTCCAACTTCACTCATCATCTTCAGATATCCATTGGACCTAACGGATATGCTCTTAGGCAACATAACCCTCTCAAAATCCACTTCATCTTCCACATCAGAAACTTCTTTTCCTACACCGTCGCCACCGAGACAAAGTCCTCCCAAAGCGTTCACCAACTCAAACGGCGTGGTGTTGTAATCAGAGGATGCAAAGTGGTTCTGGACTGAGGCTTGGATCATTGCACTGAGTTGCTTGTTGAGGTCGCGATTGACTGATCTCAGAGAAGTATTCTCTTGGCGGAGTGATTCGGCTTCTTTTGCAGCTTCGCGGAAGCGAGCGAGGCAAAGGCTGTGGCGGTTAATCATATCTTGATGCTGTTGCGTGAGGATATGGGGATCATATAGAGCGAAAAGAGAGGCGGTAGCTGCGGAGGAGGAGTAAACTCCGTCGCCGAGGTGATCGTTCGATTGTCTCGCCGTGAGGTCAGCGTAGACAGTTGAAACATTGTCATTTTGCATTTGCGATTGAATGAACTGATGCCTGAAAAATAATTTAGGAGAAGCAGAAAGGGATTTTAAAAAATGCAGCCGTATAAAACAAAAAAAAAAGAGCAGAGATTAAGCAAGAAAAAGACATTAAATCGGAGTAAATTTGACGCTCACCTGAACTTTTAAAGAACACTTCTGGTTTTCGAATTAGAGCAGGGAGAGAGGTATTTGTGGTTTACATTTCCTTTTTCGTTTTGTTTGGATGGAGAGAAAAATTACAGTCAAAGCCAAATGAAGAAATCTGATGAATGGGCATATAGAAGAAAGATTTGGAGGGAAAAAGAGGGCCCGCCGCGAATCGAAGAGAAGAATTCTGGAATCAAAACCGTTAAAACAAGCACATTACAGAATTACCCTTTTATCCAATTCCTCTCTTTTTAGGAGTGTTCATTAGGTTAAATCAGTGGCTGATCGAATCGAATTATTATTAACCACATTTTTTTAACTGTTAATCGAATTAATTTTTTTTTGAAAATATTAACCGAACCTAATAAATTTCGGTTAATTTTCGAATTAACTGAAATTTTTTAAAATTTTCTAATTTATATAAAAATTTAATATTTTTTAATTCAAAAATTAATTTACAATTAATTTAAATAATATATAATTATAAAATATTTTTTATGGATTTTTAATTAATTAATATTGATTTATGTTTAAAAGTATTGTATCTTAAATTATTAATTGAATTTTAAATGGTTTGGGTTGAACTCATATGTTATATATAATATATTTAAAATTTAAAATTTAATTTCGGTTAATTTGATTAATTTAACGTTAGTTCGGTTAATTAACCATTTTGAATCGAATTAATCATTAACCGAATTCTAAAAAATTTATTAACCGTTCAATTAATTCGGTGATCGACCAAATTAACCGAACTAATTCGATTCGGTCCGTTAATTCGATTAAAAATAAACACCCCTATCTCTTTCCAACTTTTAACCCAGTGTCACCTCTGGATTTCAATCATCTTAAATCACTCGTTATGGGTATTTAAGTCATTTAATGTTAAACAAAATGTAAGATCAAAATTCCACGTCATAAATGAATAAAGCAAATGATATATAAATAAAGGGACACTATATGTTCCGTTAAATGAAAGGATTCCAAGTTAACCTAAGCTAAGCTAATTAATTAATTTAATTTTTTATAGTTATATTTTTCAGAAAAAACGGGATAGGGGAACGGAATTAAGAAGGGGTAATGAATGGCCCAGTAGCAGTTAGTTAGGGAGGCATTTGATTTGCTTGTAATAGAAGTTAATTTAATTGTGAGTTATTGTGCAGGAGAAGTTTTATAGACTTTTCAAGTCATCAAGTGAGATTAAGCCATATAAGCCGTTTGGGAAGGACCAAGGAAGTCGTTTGATTGCTTCTTTATCACACTACAACCACCTCCTATGTCATATCTAATTTAAACTCTTAGTGAAGAAAAAAAAAAAGAAAAGATAAAGGAGGCAGAGAAGGTTATTTTTCAATTAGACTCCGTTTGGTTCAAGGAATGTTGTATTACCAGGGAAATGAAATCCTCATTCCTCATTTGGTTGGCCGATAATCTCATTCCCGATAATCTTTTATTATTAACAATAGATTTTTTGGGTATATTACCGGGAATGTAATTATCCACATTCCCTTAGGTATTGTTGGATTATCAGCGTTTTGGACTAAAATGCCCTTAATTTTTTTTCAAAAATACTCTTCTTCTGTCGTTGAATAATAAAAATTCTACGAATGTTAAATTATAAATTTATCATTAAATTATTTTATATTTACAAAAAAAAATCTATAATTAAAATGTTATATGAAATTCAGGGATTAATTTTTTTTTTACTATTTCATTAAACCTATTTATCTTTTCAATTTTGTAAAAACAATTATATAAATTTTATGAATTTAAATTTTTTAAAGAGAATATATAAATTAATTATAGTAATATTATAGTAGAATTCAACTTGTTAAAAAAATATATATAACAAGAACAATTTAGTCAAATATATATTCCAATAATCTTTTATTCTTTTAACCAAACACGGTAATCTTACATTCCTGCTAAACCAAACACAAAATACGACATTCTCAGTAATCTTATTCCATGTTAATCTTTTATTCCTACTGATAATCTTACATTTCGTGAATCATACATTCCGTGGATGTTGAGTACTTCTGGAATTCGTCTCATGATTTTTCCATTAGAATGTTTTTTATAGTACTCTTAAAAGATGTTTGGATCACCTTGCGATTATTGTAAGTCGCACGGTTCATCAGATGATTTTAAAAAAACACGTGGATCGCAAGGCATCATTCTCGAGGCTTCATGCATGTACGATAGTCGGTATAGCTAGCAAGGCTCCCGAATTCGTCAAATGATCCAGACGTAATTTAGAATTCACCTTGTAATACACTTGTACAAAAGAAGAACAAACACAAAGCTTTCTTACTTTTCTTCTTTGTGAAAATCTATAATATTGTGTTTTGGAGGGGGTGTGTGTCACGTCTTAGGGAGGTCTTAGAGAGATAGAGATATTAATCTTACATTAAAAAAATGAAGATTCTAGATTTTAAAAACAATGGTCAGGGCCGTGGCTGGATTTTTGAGAGTCATGTATAAATTCTTATAAAGAGACCTTTATTTTTTAGATATATTCTATTTCAGGACAACAATCGCGATATTTTTTTGACAAACACAGTGATAGATCCATTTATAATGACGTTTTATCAATAAAGCAGCAATAATAGTGGCTTTTTTTAAAAACGTAGTAATAGGTCCATCTATAATAGCGTTTATTTGAAAAACGTTACTATGTATATACTTTTTTGGGGCCCATTTTTTAGGCTCTGCGCGGTCGCACAGTTCGCGCCGCCTCAGCCACGGTCCTGACAACACATCATAACAAACATATTTTTTATAAGTATTTTATATCAAACTACATATAAGTATATCTTTTGAATACTTTATAAAATATTACAATTTATGACAAATCTTATAATATTTTATTTTATTTATTTATTTGAATCTTTACTTACTTTAATGTCATGAGTTAATTAATTATTAATCTAATTAAAAATTTATAAAAAATATTTTTAAATATAGTAAATAGTATTTTTTGGTACATGATATAGTAAATAGTATTAGATTTATATAGTATTATATTTATACTTTTATTTTTTATACACTTTAAAATCCAACCAATTCAATTTGAGTGGTTAAATTTCTTTAAAAAAACAAAATTTAAATCTGAAATGATTTTAGCTTAGAAAGATAGCCCAACCCAAAACCATCCGTCGTTCGGTTTTCAGTCCAAGCAATAGTGTGTAACGGAACGACGGCGTTTGATTGAGATTATCCGGAAGAGTTGAAAATAGACAAAAAGAAGAGAAGACGAACTGTGAATCGTGAAGACGGAGACGAGAACAAAAATGACAGAAGCTTGCGTAAGGGCCGTGGTGGAATCTATACACTCTTCTCCCACACAGGCCGTCCTCTACCTCTCCGGCGGCGCTTCTCTCGTCTCTCTCTCTCTCTCTCTGCATAATGAATTCTTTTCTTTCTTTCTAGATAAAGATTTTAAACTGAATAATTATCAGTGATTACATTGATTAATCAACAATTTAAACAGGCCTTAGGGATTTTGATGTCAGTTCCTGGAGCTTCAAACACGGTTCTGGAAGCTGTTGTACCGTACTCTAGAATGTCCATGATCCAATTACTTTCCAAGGTTCTCTTCTCTTCTTCCTTTTCTTTTTCTTAATTGAAAATTGAATTTCCATGTTTTTAGTTTTAAAATAATAATTAGAAAACCGGTTTTTTCTGTGCAGATTCCTGCTCAGTACTCTAGTCAACAAACTGCTGATGGAATGGCTTTGCTTGCTTATAATCGCGCGCTGAAGCTTTCTTCTCCAGGTTCTAAAGTTCCTATTTTGGTTTTGTTTAACTTCCTGCTCTTAATTTGAAATGACAAACTTGTTATTGCTTTTTTATTCCCTTGAAAAATAATTCCACCTGGTTTCGGAATGCTTTTTATTATCTATTCGTGCTTTATATTTTATCAATAAAACAGGAAATTCCTTTGGTTTGGAAATGCTTGTTCTCTATTTTTCTAGAAGACTGCAAAATGATTTTAAATTACTCTGTTGAAATTTGGAATCCTTGTCAATTTCCTAATCTGGTTATTTACCATATGTTATTGATTATATTAGGAGCAAAATAGAAAAGGGAATAGGATTATATAGGAGCAAAATATTAAAGGGAATAGGAATATATTTGCAGAAGTGAACTGGCTGTACTTGTTCAGTTGTTTGGATTCTGGTCAATTTGTGTGACATGGGGTTATTTTGACTATCTGAATAGGTTCGCCAGTTCTTGGTGTTGGCTTTACAGGTTCTTTGGCGACCTCTCGTCCAAAACTGGGGGACCATAGGTATGTTTCTTCAAATCTACTGTTAGTTAACTGATATCTAATGACCCCGTTGCAGTTTGATTAAACGATTGTACTGTTTTTGTTCGAATAATGCTTTGTTAAGTTGTAACAATGATCTTAAACTTACCCTTGCTGCCTGGTTTGATATCTAGTTTTAGTCACAAGTAACTAAAAACAATCAAGAAAATTAAACATAAAAACACACAATGGCCAAATCATTCTGTATGTTAGTGAATATGATGTTATCAAGCCTGCGAGGCACTCCATCAAATTTGGATAGTGTGAAGGTTTTAAGGTGCTTTTATTGTCCATTGCAAGTGTCATGCAAGTAGGTAGGGTGCATTAATACCGTATTGGATGGGTAGGGGAAGGTCTTTGAGCTTATAACTGAATGCTCTACAAATTTTATCAGGCATGCCTTTCATGATGAGAATAGTAGCCTTGTCTAAAGTGGTATCAGAATAAGCCTCTAATTGTGCGATTGCACGCCAAGCACCAATGAGTGAGCCAGCCAGGCAGCCAGGGTCGGCCGATAGTAACTCCATATTTAACCCCTAGGAGCAAGGTAGGCAAAATGATGGTGAAGCCTTTGACAAGGGTGTCACAAGATTGGTGGGTGAGAATGTTATTCCAAGCACTCTAAAAATGTAGCCATGGTGCATTGATCTCACATTAGATAAGAAAAGGAAGGTCCTCGGGCATGTATGTAGGTGCAGTGTATATTCTACTAGACATTTTTGGGAGGAGAGTAATGGACCACTGAAACAAGGCATAAGTGTGCATAGGCACACATCTGTTTAACGTTGGTTTCATTCTTCTTAGGTCATGATGCCATTTGCTATTGGCAGGCTCTGGAATACTTCAAACGTACAAACTGAAAGCCTTTTAATACATGTTAAAAGGTTATGCATGTAGACAACAAAAAAAATTGTTTATACATATACTTGGTAGTGGAATCTAAAAATTTCACAAGGATGATCTTTTGTAGCCATGTAGGAGTTTCTTTGTCTTGCTTGTGGAGTTAAAAAACCTTTTGCCATTGTATAAACATATATGGAAAATGCCTTTTTCGGACTCCAAAAAAGTATTCCTTTGGATTTCCTCGAAGTTCCAAAAGGAACTGTTTTAATCTTATGCATTGATGGTGTCATTTTTACTTGAAGGTGATTGTTAGTTACTTTTTTTCTGATGTGTAGGTTTCACTTGTCAACAAGAACCTCTGATAGACATTGGGCATCTACAGTTACTCTATCAAAGGTAATAACTATTTCATTAGTTATTTTTATTTACAAACTTGCTCTTTGGCACTGGATTTGCGTTTCTCTTGTTTGATGCGTAGTATTCTAGGGCTTGAGGAGTCGAGATCAAGAAGAAAAGGTTTCAAGTTACTTCCTACTTAAGGTGTGTGATACATATATGTGTGTTATTTAATGATGTCTTATGGATCATTACTAAATGCTTATTTTTTCTACTAATATTTTTTTATATAAAAATTTCTAATATATTGAAAAAGTAGGAAAACTGAAACTTTTTGATGGTTCTGGAGTTGTTGACTGTCATGTTGCATCTCTTGAGAAATACTCTAGTGCTATTTCTTTTTCAACATCTGTTGTAGATTTTAATACTTTCATTAATTTGGCTATAGGCAATCGCTAATGCCTGCAAAGTCTCTTCAACATTTGATTCAGAGTTTACTGAATCTGATGTTGCTGAAGAATTTGAAAGGTTCTTTGATGAAGATCAGGAGTTAGAGCAACTTATAAACAGGCAAATTTGCTTTAAGGTTTATCCGTTTTCAAGTGGTATGGTTATACATTTGCTGAGTTATATCCCAATTACCATTTGAGTATTTGACATTCTTTTTTTCCTTTTTAAGTATATCTTTGACCTGTCATTTACAGTATGGAAACTGATTTGCTGAGACAGATAAGTCAAACAGTGATAGGAAGATTATACTCTCTGGATCCTTTAATCCGTTACATGATGGCCATATCAAGCTCTTGGAAGTTGCCACTAGGTTTGTGAATGTGTTTTAGAAACTTAAACTTCTAAAATTGTTCACTTGGTTATGATTCATTTCTCAATCTCATTTGTTTTAGAAATTAATTGTTTTTGGCCATTTGCATCAAATTGGTTCTAGCTGACAACTGGATGTGCACTTGCCAACTTGTAGCCTCTGAAACAAACTTCAGAGGGTCTATTAATAATTCAAATTCCATTTTCATCAAACTGGTTCTTGCTTTCTTGTAGATATACACTTTGCCTATCCTTTGTAATCTCCAAAATGAACTTTTTAGTGCTGTCTATATCATATTATGAAAGGAAAGGTGAATTTTGCTGTTGTGGCGATACATGGTAAGTTACTCATGAAAAGTTTGTAATGATGCAGCATTTGTGGCGATGGGTATCCTTGCTTTGAATTATCTGCTATTAATGCTGACAAACCTCCATTGTCAATACCACAAATCAAAGAGCGTGTTATGCAGTTCGAAAAAATTGGTGAGACTCATTTCTTTTATAAACTCTCTGACTGAATGTATATCAGGTGGCAATTGTGATTCCCTGAATGTTAAAACTTTGTGTGATATTAAGAGGAGAAAACTTAATTGGCTGCAGGAGTGAGCATGGACCTAGAGTTAGGAAATCATTTTAGAATGCGTATTAATGGTATAGCTGGTTTCCTTGGAAGTGAAATCAGAGTTGGATGGAATGTGAAAGTTAACACTTGAGTTTATAGCATGTTACAAGTGTCATACTTTGTTCATTAACTACGCTGCATGAATCCTCTTTATAAGGGTATCTGAACACAATTTTGTCATATACTAGAAGATTTTGATGCATGGTGAGTGGACAGGGTAACAAGTAGTTACAGTCAAGGTGCTTCCAGGCATGTGTGGTTATATGCATTTTTCCAGTTTTTATTTTCTATATATTTTTTCATATAGAAATTTGTATTTCTTAAAATGATAGTATGTTGTATCAGTTTTTGCTTGCATCCTCAATCATATACGATTTTTGCAGGTTCCCTAACTGCTAGCATTTTGATTTGACAACTTTTATATTAATTAATAAGAGGCTTGCGTTTCTCTAATGGCAGGAAAGACAGTAATAGTTTCCAATCAGCCTTATTTCTATAAGAAAGCTGAACTTTTTCCGGGTAGCGCTTTTGTAATTGGTGCTGACACTGCAGTGAGGCTTATTAATGTACGACACTTTGAATACCTTAAATCCTATGACATTATATCATGTTCTTTTTTGATAAGCTCGTTAGATGTAAATCCATAAGATTGTCTAATAGATAGCTTTAAAGTTTAAAGTTTCTGTTAAAATAATGCATGATTTTTCAGTTGAGATCATAAAGAATCCTCCTCCTCCTCCTCCACTTCCTTAGTTATAATCAGTATAATGTGCCTTGATAATTAAGGTGCAAGACCTGACTGTTAAGGGAACACTTATACCTCATTTGGTTACATAAGTGCTAACACAAGGGAAAACTTAATTATTACTTAAGTATTAAAATAGTTTCTTATAACATAAATAAGAATTAGCATGAATTTGCTGTTAGAAGGATGGGTAAAAACTTCAAAATAAGCAAAATATTTTCCTTCCATTTTTCAAACCAAGCAATGTGACCTTGTTAAAAGTTTATTGCTAATTTATGTAGTAAGACATCACATGTTGGGAAAATAACACTCTTACCAAACAAAGCATTAATATTCTTATAGGCATATTTGAGCAACATAAACTATATAGAGAAGATGTATTTTGGATGATCTTGAGATCAACATCATTAGCTATTTCCTTATAGATGACTCATTGAATTAGCTACGGTTTGATCTCATCGTGTAGTGTCCATCGCTGTAGTTACTTTTTTTCAACTAAAATGTGGAAATATGTAAACATTCAGAAACATCATCAGAAATCTTTTGAGGTGAACATATTTTTGAGAAACTTTTGGAGAAAATAATGCTAGAAGTTCAAGTATAATCGCTGTTACTTCAATGAGAAGAAACTTACCCTATTGTATTTTCTAGCTGTTGCTGCTGGTAAAGAAGAAAATATTAGGCACAAAATGGTTGTTTGCGTAATAAGAGTTTCTCATCAGAAGGCTGGCTATGAACTTCGAAGCTTTGAAAACAAGAAAAGATAAATGTTTACTTTGCCTTGAAAACTGAATTAGCTATGAGGGGTATACGATTTAACAAAAATGTTGCTGCAAACTTTATACATAATTGTTCCCCTGGGCATAGTTTAGGGTCGGATACTGCAGTATCAGATAGAGTCAAACCAGAACTTAATGAATAGTTTGCTGATTGTGATTGGATTTGGCTGCTTTTCAGACACCAAAGCTTTTGAACCTTATTATATTCCTCATAAGTTCGATGAATTTGTTATATTTAAACGGTGAAATGATATATATATATATATATATATATTTACATTCCATCCATAGACAGTGACCCAAATAAGTAATATTGAACGCATTCAAGGTTGTACACTCATTTTGATGAAAAACCTGTACGAGTAGGGTTGGAAGTGCTGAATGATATGTTGAGGTTTGGTACTTTTTTCTCTTACTTTGGCAGCCTAAATACTATGATGGGAGCTATACTAGGATGATAGAGACACTCTCTGGATGTAAAAGAACAGGATGCACCTTCATCGTGGCTGGTCGGAATGTCGATGGTTCTTTTAAGGTATGCCTTGCATAAAAAATATGGTTAAAATGCTTACATGTTCATATTACTTGATCCAAATCATAGATTTTAGCCCCTCTCCTTTAGATTCAAGCATATGAGAAACGTGTGCAAATACATGCATGTTTAATTTTTGGGGTTTTCTTTTCTTTTTCTTGTGGACATTAGGCTATATTTAAATTTAAATTATGGGTTATACATTTGGTCATGTATTTCCGTATATTAATTTCGTAGTTTTGGTATTGGTGCAGGTTCTTGAGGATTTCGATGTTCCTGAGGTGTTGAAAGATATGTTTGTCCCAATACCAGCTGAAAGGTTCCGAATGGATATATCCTCAACTGAAATAAGGAAAAGCCGCGGTGTGTAACACTTATTTTTATTTCATTTTAGAACTCAATAAGCATGGCATCCTTAATCATTATCTGTATTTTTATTGATCATTGAGAGTGCTTGAGCATGGCGCCAAACCGTGAATGAAAAAGTGGCCAGGTACACTGGTAAAACTATTATGTTCAATTACAAGTTTCATCACTCAAATTTACCCTCATTCCTATTTTAATCACTCAAAATTTTCACTAAACTTATTTCATCCGCCTAAACTTGAATTTCAATGTTGATTTAGGGTATGTTTGATAGACTGTAATTGGTTTTCTAGAAAAGAATTTACGTAAGATAGATTACCTGAAAATTGTTTTTCGTAAAATGAATTACATGAAAAATGTTTTACGTAAAATGAATTACCCAAAACTGTTTTACGTAAAATGAATTATATTTTTCAGGAAAAAAATTTCGGAAACTATTTTACGATGTTTTTATGATATTGTGTAAATCATTTTCACTAATTGTTTGATACACTATAATTAATTTTATTGAAAATGATTTACATAAAATGAATAAAGTTTGGTTTGGTTAATATTTTCAAAAAAGAATTGATTCTAACGGATAAAGAAAAAAAAGATTGGTATATTCGGTTAATGGTAATTCAATTCGATAGGTGGTTGAATTAACCATTTGAACATTCTTAATTTTAATTATTAGTATTTTATTAACATAATGCTAAATTATTATAATTAATGTTAAATATATAAATTCTTATTACTCTTTATTAATAATTTAATAATATTATACTATGAAAATAATATATAAATATTGCTAATTTATTTAACAATTTAATTTCATATATTATTATAATATATTTGAGTATATATTAATATAATATTATTAAAATTATATTATATGTATATTAAATATTTTAATAATTAATATTTTTATTAAAATGATAGTAAAATATTAATTTAATATTAAATATATAAAATAATATTTTTTTAAGTACTTATACTCTGAAGTGAAAATATAGGAAAATGTTTTACAAAAAATCAGATAGTAAAACAATTTATAGAAAATACAAATGATTTAAGAAAATGAATTACATTGAGAAAATTAATTACAACTATCAAATATTAGAAAATATTTTTCGTAAAATTAATTATAGCTATCAAATACAAAAAAATTAGAAAAACATTTTCCGAAAATAATTTTCAACTATCAAACACACCCTTAATCGGAAACACTTCAAGCTCTACAAATTTAGGATCGTTGTTTTCCTTTCTCGTGTGAAATTGTTGTATTTCAATGGCTTTTGTCAGTCAAATCATACAGAGAGCCTTCTATCGCCTCTTTTTCTAGATTTTACAAGAAACTTCTAAAAAGTTGCGAAACTGTTATTTATTTTTTTGTTCAATCTATTATTTTGACTGTTAGATTGTGATGTGTGTGAGATCTGTCGTTATCCTTGTCGAGCGATATTCTTATATCTTTAGGGATCTAAAAAATAATAGATTTTTGGACTTTCGGATAATGGTTGATGATCGATTTATAGTTAGGATGGTTTGGGTTGTTAGGTTGGTGGTGGGTTCAGAGGTGAACTCAGTAGGTCTAAGCGAAGTCAATTTGTTGGTGTCTTGATGGGGGTAGGGGCTGTTGATGTTGAAGGTGGTGATGAGGTAGGCCGTGGATAACAAGTGCAGTGCCCATTAGGTCAGTGGAGCTTATGTGAAATGAAGGTTAGATTCGTACTTAGAGGATCAAAATAGGACAACTTGAAAATCTTGAGACATAACAACTGACAATATCTGACGAACGATGGTTGAAATTCGCGTAACGATTGATCTTACGAATGATGATTGAAATCCAAATAGATGTTTACATGTATAAAGAAAATTAACGATGATTGAAATTCGTATAATGATTGATCTGACGAATGATTATTGAAAGCCGAATCGATGTCGACATGAATAAAGAAAATTAAAATAAATCGTATCATCATACAATAGTTGAGAAAATGGAGTAAACAAAAAAACTCTAATATCTAAAGTTTAATGATTAAATTGAAAAATTTTAAATTTTAATTACTACTAATCTAAGAATGAGGATAAAATTGAGTGATGAAATTTGTAATGAGCATACTCACTAGTATAACCAACTCACCTCATGTAGTCGTGTTGGAAAATAGATTCTTCCGAAACAAGGCTTTAGTACTGGCTGAATAATAAAAATAAATAAAAATAAATGATTTAATTGTGTCGTGATATTAATCATTGTTTTAGAAGTAAATTCATCCTGACGTGTGTAATCATTTCAATGGACAAACGGTCGTATGATGTTAGTACGACTTTTTAAATTTCGTACGCTCAAAAAAATAGAATGGACTCAGGCGACATTGCTTTTCTCTAAAAATAACTTTGAAGAAGCTAGAGAGCGTTTGAAAATGAAACATTGAAGAGAAATTAATTTTTAGTATATCTGAAAAAGTTAAAAATGAGTTCTCTATTTATAGGGTTAAAGAAGAGTTAGAGTGATAAAAGATCCGATAACAGCTACAATAAATTAACTGTCATATACACAATTTTAATGAACATAAACATTATTTTCTTAGAGTTAAAAATGATAAAATACAGACCATGGTTAATAATATTTTAGCTGAAGAATTAATAAAGAAACACACAAATTAAATTAAAGGGTAAACTATGTCAATAGTCTCCTTTATTTTCAGTTCGATCGATTCTGATCATCAATTTTTTAATTAAATGTGTTTAATTTCTTACATTATTAATTTATTCGATTTAAATATCTCGACCGTTAATTTCTGTTAATCTATTAATAAAACTCTAAGTTGACAATTAAAAATTAAAAAAATCCACATTCATTACTAGTGACGTGACAATTTTAAAATAATAAAAAAATTCACCACTTCTTCCTCTCCTCTCCTCTCACTTTTTCTATTTTTTTCTCTCTCTCTCATTTCTCCGGCGACGACTTTCGTTAAAATCCTGTAGTCGTGTTCACTTTGTTTCAAGTTTAACTTCTGTAATGTATGTGACATAGATTCAAATCGGGGTAGCGGACGTGTTTTGGTCATATTGCAAGATTGCAGACATAACTAATACTATCACGGATATAATAGGTATATCGAAAGGCAGCTATCACGGATATAATAGGTATATCGAAAGGCAGCGCTATTGTTATTTCGTTATTTTACTAGTGCGTGGATGGCTATTTAAAACGTGGCTTTAGTTTTGGAGCTATATGAGAAAGAAAAGGGTGTTTTTGAAATTATGAAGAAGATGTAGATGAAAAAGCTCTCAACTTTGGTCTTGTCTTGGTGAATTGAAAGCAAACAGTTTTGAGTTTTGTGTACTGTCTGTCCCACAGTTATACTTACCCGCTTGTAAAACCTTAGCTCCCCTCTTCCTCGTCACCTTTTACTCTTAAACTCAAATCTTTTTCAGCGAATTATAAGTACCACAATGACCCTTCTAAAGGGCAAAATCACTGTCTGGTACGGCAAGTTTACCCCTACTCAACGCTCCTAATCGTCGATTTCATTCTCCCTTTGAGTTCCCCAAAGCACAAGGTTCCGTCCGCGTCTTCATTGTGGGAAACTATTGAGAAATACAAGAGCGGTTCTTCAACTCCTTGTAATTGGAACGGCGTCAACGAACTCACCCTCGACGGGTTCTCCCTCTCAGGTCGGATCGGGCGCGGCCTTTTAAGGCTCCAGTTCTTGAGAAAGCTTTCTTTAGCCAAGAACAACGTCAGTGGAACCATAAGCCCCAACTTGGCAAAGCTTGAGAGCCTTAGAAGCATTGATTTGAGTGATAATTCTCTTCCTGGATTTGTCTGTGATTATTTCTTCAAACAATGTGGGTCTCTTAGGTCTGTTTCTTTAGCTGATAACATGTTTTCCGATGAGATTCCCGGGAGTTTAGAGTCTTGTTCTACACTTGCTGCTATCGACTTGTCTTGGAATCGGTTTTCGGGATTATTTTATAAATGTTTTCAATATTCATGCAAATGCCAGGGTCGAAGAAGAAGAAGAACGTGAGATTTACATGTGGATTTTTTAGTTTTTATTTTATTTTTTAATTGTAACTCATAATCGGTTAATGGAAGTTAACAGTCGAGGGACTTAAACTGGACGGACTCATAACGTAATAGATCAAGCGCATTTAATTAAAAAATCGATGACTAAAGTTGATCAACCTGAAAACAAAGAGTACTATTTGTATAATTTACCCTAAATTAAACCCTGATAAACCGTTCGTACTCAATATGAAATTCTTTATGTTATTATCACAGAATGCCTGATCGATTGATCCCATAGACGTTGTTGGGGAATGACTATCATCAAATAGGAAGAAACATCATTTTAAAACATATTGAAAAAGAGAGAAGTTTAGATAAAGAAGGCAGAAGAATCAGAAGAACTCTGTCGAGGGATGGATCGAAAAGTGTCGAAGTGTGGTCGTACTTTTAAATTTTTTTAATTTTTCTATATAGATTGAATATTTTTTATTCATGATATAATTTCATATTTTTTAATTTAATATTTTAAGAATTCTCACCACTAAAATGAATCTTGCATCCTTCTCTAGTCCCAACTACCGTGTCAGCTGGGTTATTCAATGAATCCTCTCGTGGTCTTAACATGCCTCCAATTTCCATTGCTATGCTTGCAACCCTTGGACATGATAAAAGCACATCATGTCCAAATTGTCTATTAACTAGGTATACAATATTTACCTAAAATATCATTTTGACCCTTTAATTTTATTAATTCAATCATTTTATCTCTTAAAGCTTTTATCATGTTCTTTTGGCCCTCAAAACTTTCTTTAGAAAATAATATAACAATGACTTTGCTGTTACACGCGTTAGGGGAAGAGGTGGGGTTCGTCAAAACACTTCGAAGTAAAGGATCAAGAAAACAAATCATGCATACGTAATTTGAGGGTGAAGGTTGTAATGAGTATCGTTTAGGATTCAGTGTAACAGCCAAACATGCTGTTATTCCTTGTTTGGACTGCTTTTCCTAGGGATTGGGAGCCCAGGAAAAAGAAGAAGAAAAAGCTTGGAAGGTTGTTTCATTAATGGAGAAAATTTCAGGCTATTCCAACCTACAAGAATGGACCGAAGGGTGGGAGCAGTTGTCGTTCTGAAATTTTAAAATTACTATATATTTTAATTTTTTTTTTATTTTTTTATGAAAAATCTATTTTTGTCTCACTAGAATTTTATAAGTTTAAGTTCACCCCTAAAACTTTAAAAGAACGTCCCCTGACATAAAATCATGCCTCCGTCCCTGCCGACATACACTCACTCTTTCGAGCTTAGAGGTTTAACCTGTCTTGGTCTCAAATGCAAAGGTGGAATCTTGTATGGTTTGTTTTGTTTTACCCTTTTCCTATACTTGACGCTGAACAAGTTGTTCTATTTGACCTTGAATTTCCAGGAAGGACATCGTTTCAAAGGAAAACCGGCGTGCCTCTTTAAGCCGCAATCTGAGCCATAAGTATTCTTTCTTTCACACCACTATCTGAATGAGACATCATTAGTCTGGACCAATTCTATATATACTTTAGCTTTAATTCTAAATGCCAATTGCCAAGCTCCAAGTAATGAAAGACTTTGAAATCATTTTAGTCTGTTTTTCTCTGAACGTTTCAAACAAGCCATGAAATTAGTGTTTGGTGTTAGGGCATATCGCCGTTGAGTTTGAAAATTCTTTGCAGTTGCACTACTCAAACATCGACCAACGAGGAAGACTTTACCATCACATGTGTAATTTAAATGGAATCCCCACTTTCATCGTCTTCCAATCCCCTTTTTGTCAAGTCTTTCTGCCTCAAGAAGGAATGCTGGTTTTTGATACCTTCAAATGACTCCTATGGCTATCATACCCTTCTTTGTCTTGGTTGGTCTCTTGCAATTCTCCCTTCTTCACTCGGCTGAAGATGACGGAAACCACCACAGCTGGGATTGCCCAAGCTTCCCTTGTGCAAAACTTGGTGACTTAAAATTCCCATTCACCGAACCGGATCGCCCTGACTGCGGGTTGTTTGTAGTTAAGGGTTGCAAAAGTACCAACCACAGTGTCCAGGTGCAGCTAGAACAGGGAGGACAATGGTATGAAGTTTATTCAATCTCCCAAGGTGATACTCTTACCATTTCTGATCAATTCCTAGCCAAGCAGTTAAAGCGGAGGGATTGTCAATCCTTGAATAACTTGAGTCTTCCCAATCTTCCATACGCCACCTTCGAAATCACTCCCAACTTAACCTTGTGTAAATGCAAAGCCGCTTTGAATGCTAGGCCTTCAAAGGAACCAGAACTCAGCCACACACCCTGTAACAATTACACAATATACTATCGGCGACCGAAGCCACCACTGAGCGGTAACACGAACGAAGATGACAGCTTGTCAAGTCTTTGTCATTGTCCAACTATTCAGCTCCCTCTTACCGACTCTCCTAATATTGACTTGTTTAATTTATTAACCTCCAATGTATCTGTCAAATTTCACGTATATCGTTATTGTTGGAGGCGACATAGGAGAGGCGGTACATGTCTAGCTAGAAACCATAGCAAAGGTACACCTAAACGTCTATTGCACTTTTTTCCCTTTCTCTAATGCATTTATGAGAAAATCGGAATATGTAACGACCAAAGTGACTTGGTTTTGACTTGTGAATTACCATAGACAAAGTGCACTTGACTCTATTTTTTAGGGTAAAAGCTGACATTGTTCTTTGCAACTTGAATTGTAGGGACGAACAAAACAAGACTGAAACTCAGACTAGGAAATCTCTCTTTGTTTCCAACAGATAAACAAATAAATTAACTCCTACAAATTTCTACGTGAAAAAGGGAGTTTGAAGGATACTGATGTTTGGCATATTTGTCCTTGTTATGATTTTACGTAGGAATTGGATCCACAGTCGCTCTACTGATACTGATGTTCAGCATCTTTGTCTTCTGTCGTCGACACAAACAAAAACATGTCTCTTCATCCGATTTCCCTTCTAAATCTGACCTGGAAAATAGCTCTGCCATTTGCTTTGGACTTCTCATTTTCTCCTACAATGAACTTATGGAAGCCACCAATAATTTTGATGATCATAAAGTGCTTGGAGGTGGAGGATTTGGAACTGTTTATTATGGTAAGACAGTCAAGAATAAATTGCATGTTTATTACCTCTCAAAAGCTTGATGAATTGATTTTCTCCTCATTGGTTTTGATGTAGGGAAACTCCGAGATGGGCGAGAAGTTGCAATCAATCGGATATGCCAACACAACTTTAAACGGCACCAACAGTTCATTAACGAAGTAGAAATCTTAACCCGCTTGAGCCACAAGAATTTGGTCTCTCTCCACGGTTGCACCTCGCGGTGTAGCCGGGAACTTCTCCTTGTTTACGAGTTCATTCCTAATGGCACAGTTGCTGATCATCTCCATGGTGATCGTTCACAGTCTGGTTCTCTCACATGGCCTGTTCGAATGAGCATCGCGATAGAAACCGCGACTGCATTAGCTTATCTCCATGCCTCCGGCATCATACACCGCGATGTGAAGACTACCAACATTCTCGTCGATGATAATTTCTGTGTCAAAGTAGCGGATTTCGGGCTTTCTCGTTTGTTACCGAACGATGTCACGCATATATCAACTGCTCCACAAGGGACCCCTGGCTATGTTGATCCAGAATATCATCAATGTTACCAGCTAACCGAAAAAAGTGATGTTTATAGCTTCGGAGTTGTCCTCATTGAACTCATATCGTCAATGCCGGCCGTCGATATCTCCGGGCATAGGCATGAGATCAATTTGGCAATTTTAGCAATAAACAAGATTCAAAAGTGTACATTTGATGAGCTGATTGACACTCACATTGGGTACAAATCATGTGAACAAGTTACAGGGATGACGACTTTGGTTGCGGAGCTGGCTTTCCGATGTTTGCAACAAGAGAAAGATCTGCGACCTTCAATGCAAGAGGCTTTGGAGGAACTACAGAGAATACAAAGTAAAGTTTACAAGTTGGAGAATCTGCAGCAGGAGGAGCACACTGATTGTGAGATGATGATGAGTATACAACCGCCTCCGTCACCGCCAACGGACGATCAGATGTATTGTTGAAGGATATCCGGCTGCCAGCTTCTCCAATTTCGGTGACGGATAAATGGATTAGCCAGAGAACTACACCTAATGCCCGTGAATAAGTTTTGCTTCACTATCCTGCTTTACATGCTACGTTCTTTTTATATATATATATATATATATATATAAATGTTGAATTTTATTCATCAAAAATAACTTCTGTCGTAACCGGTTTTCGTCCGGGCACGAACATATTATACTTGGCGGGTAAATTGATGTGAATAAATGGTTTTGAAAATAATTTGGGAGTCGCCATCGGCCTTTTGGGTCAGGTAGGTCGAATACCTAAAAATCATCTTTTAAAAGCGTTTTTAAGAAAACATCAGTTAAAAGATAAACTGATATGCGTTTAACCAAAAATTCATTTTTTTTATTAATAAAAAGGGATTCGTGGTCGGTTACGTTTAGGGAAGGATTAGCACCCCTACAACGCCCAAAATTGGTACTTTTTAATTATAAATTGTCTGTATTATTTGAAATTTAAAAATTCAAAAATATATTTAATTCATAATTCTATTTGTTTCAAATAATTTTAAGAAAATATATTAATATACATAAATAATATATTTACTTATTTAGAAATATCAGAAAAGGGCTTCTAGGTGTTTTAAGACAGCTCTTTTCTTTAATATTTAAAAATAAATATCAAAAACCTTTTATTTTAATATAGTAAGATATTTATTTATTCAAAAATATCAGAAAAGAGCTTCTAGGTACCTTAAGACAACTTTTTTCTTTGATATTAAAAATAAATAAATATCAAAATATGATTATTTTTCTTAAAAGTAATTTATAAAATTAAATTTATAAATAGGAAAATAGAATAAATAAATAAATATTATATATATTTATAAGACTATATATATTGACATAATTAATAAAGAATAATAATAATAATAGTAATGATAATTAAATATATATGAACATAAGTATATAAAGGTAACATATGATCAAATAATGTTTAAAATACAATTAAAACATGATATGAAAAAATAAAAAAATAAAGCTTGTAAATGAAAATATTAAACTTAGGGACTAAATTATAATCTGATAAAATTAAATACCTAATTCACAATTAATTATTTAAAATTATAGGGATTAAACATGCTATTTTCCTTATTTATTAATTTGGTGACTAAAATATAATTATAAAAAAATTTGAATAACAGATTAAAATAAATTAAAAATATATACTCGGGATTAAAATATGATTTATTAAAACTAAAAGACTAAATACGTATTTATCCTAAATATATTATTTAATAGAAAGGACTAAAATAAATAAATCCAAAATTAAAGAACCAAATTATAAAGATCTAAAATTGGGTTCAGTGACTAAAATATAAAGTTTACAAATTCAGAGGACTGCGGAAAGGATTTAACCTTTCTATAATTACGCACAGGTCCTCCCTTAAACGACGCCGTTTAAGAGAGGGTATAAATACCCTAGGCTGGCTGGCCCGAAGGGCCAGCATCTCATTTCTCCTTTCTTTCTTCTCTCTCTCAAACTGAGAGAGAGATTTCTCTCTCGCCTCTCTCTAGGTTTCCCTCACCGGAGGGAAACCGGCAGCCATAGGCCACCGTACTCCGCCGCCGGCCACCGCCGTCGGCCACCGTAACGGTGGTCGGAATTCACCAAAAACACCCCCAAAGCGTAGATCTAAATGCCCTAAGACCGATTCCGGTCTTTGTTTTCCCTAAAAGACTCCTAATCGGAGTAAATCTACGAAAATACCTTCGGTATTTTCTATTCTCCGGCGATGTTTAGTGCTTCCAACGGTGGTCAAGGCTCCAAGGGTAAGTTTCTTTTCTTCTCTTCGTTTCTGTTTTGGTCTGGTTGTTGCTCGTATCTCTCTTTTTTTTTTTTTTCTTCGTCTGTTTCTCTGTTGTACTCCGTTCCTCTCTGTGGCTGTCCTTTCTTTCTTGCAGGTGGGGTGGCTTTTATAGCCACCACCGAGGCTCTCGTTGGACCGGTTCCAGAGATGAAAGGCCCGGTGAGTCACCATAGCTATGGTGGTGACTCACCATAGGGCTCAACGTGGGTAGCTTCGTGACGTTCTGGAGTGTCGGCAGCAGCTGTTGGACCACCTGGACTCATCGGAGGCGGCTGGAAACATCTAGAAACGGCTGGCTGCTAGGGTTAAAAACCCTAGGGTTTTCCATCTGGAACCCTTTTGGGCCGTTGGATCTTGCCAGATCCAACGGCTGATGATGCTGACGGCGGCTGGCCTTCAGGGATCTTGGAAACAGTTGGGGGCTAGGGTTTGAAAACCCTAGATGAAACCCTAAATCAATTTAGGGTTTCCATTTAGGGTATGGGTCGGTTCTGGTTGGGCCTGGGATTTGGGCTTGTAAATGGGCTTCCAGTTTTGTAATTATTTATTAAATAATAATAATATATATAATATTAATAATAATAATAAATAAATAATAATAATAATAATTATTATAATAATAATAATACTAATAATAATAATAATACTAATAGTAATAATAATAATTTTAATAATAATAATTTTAAATGAAAAAAATTGATGTCTACAACTTCCATGTACAAATCAATCTGCAAAAACAAAATACTTCATCCAGCAAAGAACCTCTCTGTACAAACCAAATTACAAAGAACAAAAAACTTCACCTATAAACACCATAATAAATAATAGAAAGAAAAACAAATCCTATAACAGATCTCATTCAATAGCAAGTACCGAAGACCTACCTTGAGTACACCCCTTTAACCTCAATGTAACAATACTCTTTATCAGTAAAATCATACCCTCAATTCCTCTAGGACTACCTCCATACAATCTACCGATCCTCTCCCACCAAATATGGTAAATATAACAACACCAAGTAATACGATTAATGGTCCCCAATAAGATTTTTCCTTTACCATGCGCTACAACCCAACTCATCATATCACTCCAACAAACCCTAAACCAACTAATATGACGAGCTTGTAAAATACTAGATCAAACCTGCCTAGTAAAATTACATTTAGCAAACAAATGGTCCCTACCCTCAAAACCATAACCACCAAGAATGCAAGAGGGATCAATATGACCCCCAACAGAACATATGAACCTTTGTTGACAAGCGATCAAGAAGAGCCAGCCATAAAATGAACAAGTGCTTGGGGATAAACAGACCACCCCAGATCAAGGGGCCTTATCTTGCTTGCACCGAATCACTTCTCAAACCTTCTTTGCATGATAGCTCTCATCCAAACCACTCACAAGAGCATTAGTCATCCCTCAAATCCAAAATTTTCTTTCATGTCCAACTATGATTAATTCTCAACTGGGCTTACCAAAGCAAACGTCCCTTCAAAGAGATGTAAATAGTAAATGAATGGGATAAACGGAAGATTTTATGTAGTAGAGCGTTATCTTTTAGAAATTTATTAAAAAATTTAGACAATACAAAATTACAAAATTATAAAAATGTGTGATTAGATTATTAATAACATTTGTAAGAAAATTACTTAAATTATATATAAGTTTAAAATTTTTAAAGATACCAACACCATTTCGATTCATCCTTAATAAAAGAAAGTAGTAGTGACTATATTTTGTATAATGTTCATATGCTGAAGATCCTTTATATGGTTCCCTTGCTATCGTAAAGATAACAATGTTGTTACGTTGTTTCATAAATATCATGTACGTGATGCACGAATCAATTTACTTTAGTAGTTAAATGAATTATTATTATTTTTAGAGATCACAAATTTAAAACATATACTATTTTATAATCACTTTAACTTAATAAAAAATATATCATGTACGTGATACTCTATCATCGTGAAGGTGTCACTATTTGAAGATATAGGAACATTAAATTCATATAGAAATAGAAATAAATTTAAAATAATAATATTTTATATTTTATCAAATATATTTTTATTATCGGATATGCAGTTATCACCATTAGGGCTGTAAATGAGACGAGACAGATCGCGAGCTATTCGATATCGACTCGATCAAGGCTCGATAAATACTCGGATCGAATGGACTCGACTCGAGCTTGAGCTCGACTCGATTTCTTAACGAGCTGAAACGAGCTACTCGATATTCACCTCGAAAAGCTCGTGAACAGCTCGAAAATATAATATATTAATATTTTATTTAAAAAATAAATTAATAATAATATTAATATTTATGTATTTATTTATAAATGGATTAGTCAGAAAATTACGCCTAGTGCAAGTTTTGGTACGCTATCCTGCTTCACAGTCAACTCTCACTGCCATGTTTTATTTTTCTTTTTAGGAGGAAATGTAAATAGGGATGACAACGGGCCGGGTATTGGTCTCCATCTCCGTTCTCGTTTCCGTTTAAAAAATTGGTATTCGTCTCCGTTTAAAAAACTGCGGGGATTTAAACGGGGATCCCCGTCGGGTAATCGGGGAAAATCGCGGGGAAACGGGTATCCTCATTTAGCATAAACGGTTATTTAAACGGGTATTGGGTCGGTATTGGGCCGGGAATCGGGCCAGGTATATATATATATATATTTAAATTAAATATATAATTTTTATTTAAATTAAATTTATTAATATTATATATATATATATATATATATATATATAAATGATTATTTTTAATATTTATCGGGGCGGGTAATCGGGTAATCGGGGCGGGGATTACCAAACCCGTCCCCGTCCCCGTCCCCGTTTAAAATAAATGGATTTTCCCCGTCCCCGTCCCCATTTATCATCCCCGAACTCGACCCGTTTAATTCGGTTTTCGATTTTCCCCGTCGAATTCGATTTTTTTTGCCATCCCTAAATGTAACTTGTATAGAAAGTAGAAGTTTGTAACTGTATAGATTTTAAAAAGTCATATTATAAATAAAAAGAATAGAAAGTTATAAATTTTTAGGAAAAAAACCGAAACCACATTATTAATAGAAAATATAAAAATAAATATTTTTTTAAATAAATATAAATTTTATTCCAAAATTAAAAAATCAAGAACTCCTAAAAAGTTATATTGTACAGAAAGCTATACATAGACCTAACAAACATAACCCGAACCCGATTACCCGACTCAATATCAAATATTAACTCGATCATGATATTCAAATTTGATATGATACCTGACCTATACCCTACTAAAACCGAAATCAATCAGAATCGAAATTAACTATAACCGAAACCGAAATTAAACCGGACCAAAAGCAATCCGAACCGAAAAAAATTCGAACCGAATTTTAACCCGATCTAAAAAGAACCCGAACTGAATTTAAATTGGCCCAAAAGCAACTTGAATAGATTGAAATTGATAAATGTTATTAAACGATAAAAGTTATTTTCAATAATAAATTAATTTAAATAAAATTAATAATTTATTAAAAATATTAGGTTTATAATAAAACAATATAAAGTTTAAGAGAAATATAAAAGTAAGAATCTAATTGTAAGATTGAAAACAATAATAAATAAAATTTACTCATCTTGCTTGTTATAAAAAAATATTAGATTTATAATAAAAATAATAGAAAACAACTAAAACAAAGGAAATAATAGAACATTTATAATAAAAAATAATATAAAGTTTACTTATGTTATGACTAAAAATTAACAAATAAAGTTATGTATTATTTTTTTAAAATTTAATAAAAATATTAAAAATTTATAATTGGAAATAAAAAATTTAATAAAAAAATTATTTCTTTATCAAATAGATCTCATTATAAACTTTTCATACGAGCTAAATATAAAATTTTGATAACAAATTCTAACACATATTATAGGATCGTATTTGTGTCAAATTATCGATTTATCAACTCTAAATAATGGTTTAATTCAAAATATTGAACGATTGAGAATTGAAATTAAACATAAATGATAAAATTAACAAATAAGAAAGACATATTTTTACAAATATATATCAATTACTCTATATATATTTGATTTTGATTAGACTCATAATCAATTTAACCTGAATTGATTTGATCTAAAAGTTGACCTAAACCGAAAATCAATAGATCTGATATTGATCTGACCTTAAATCTAATCGATCCGGTATAAACCCGACCAAAAATCAACCGATTTGGTATTGATCCGACTCGATATTGATCGAAAAATTATCGATCCAATAATCACCCGATCCGATTCACCGTACACTCAAACTAGATCTGAACAAGACAAAATTAAACCGAATTTAATTTAGACTCAAAATTACCTAAACCGACATGACCCGACCCAAACCCGATCTGAATGATCTATTTGCCACCTCTAACTATACGCAACAAACTATTCAAAACCATTCAAATAAACCAATGGCTTAAATATAAAAAAGGTGTCCAACGTATGTCTGTTTTTTTAGTTTGGTGCCCAATGTATGTCCGTTTTTTTAGTTTGGTGTCTAACATTTTTTTAGTTTGATACCTAACGTTTTTTACGTTCTAATTTGGTACCTAACGTTTCATTTCGTAACTCAATTTGTGTTAGACCGTGACGAACTGTTAATTTTGGCCGTTGACATGAGTATAATATTAAAAAATGAATTTTTTAATTAAAATAATAAATTAATTAATTGAAATTGAAAATTTAATAAAAAAGATAAAAATATTTTTACCTTTAACCCCCAATAATTTTTTCCTCTCTTCCCCGCCACTCTCTTCCCATTCCTTCTCCACCCTTTTTTTCTGAAATTGAATTCAAGAACCCTATATCAGGGAAAGAGGGAGAAGGCTAGAATCATGGCGCAGATTCCATACTGATATCAGTTTCACCATGGTTTCACGAGCATAACAAGACATCAACCTTTCTCCTTACCGTATTATCCCTTGGATAAGAACAAATTCCCAGACGTTTTTTTTCTTCTTCCAGTTTTCCAGTTAGTTTTCACCAGTTTTCTCTCTTCCCCCATTCTTCCCTCTTTCTATATAAACCGCCTTGCCTTCTCATTTGCTTTCTGCTTATCCTTGTCATCTTCTTTCTCTACCCTTTCTTCCCCAACACTTCTTTTTTTAATTTGGGTTCCAAAGGTTTCAACTTTTGGTCCAACAATGGAGGTTTTGCATTTCTTGTTTGGTGTTCTCGGTGGTTTTCTCAGCTTTCTTTTCTTTGAAGTTTGTTTGTTGGATTATTTGGAAGCTTTTAAATTCATGGTTTTCTCTGTTTTCTTTACAGGAAATGCCACTGCTTTGTTGACATTTTGTACCCAAAACAAATGCGCTACCAAGCTGCGCTACATCCCTTTCAATTGGTCTACAATGTCATTGTAGAGAATCTCTATCTTATTTTCCACACTCTTAATTTCATCTATTGATATACAAAAATTATCTTTTCATTTCCACTTTTTGGTCTCGTATCATATAACAACTACATAATGAATAATAAATGAATATTTTTTGTGAGAATTCTCAGGCGAAAAGGGGATCTATTTTGTTATTTTAAGAAATAGAAAATCTTATCTACCGAATCGGTGTACATTAAATTTGAATTAGAAATTTGGGGTACAAATAAATAAATACAAGTGGTCTTTAATCACACATACATTTGATCATATATATGTATTACCTTAATGTAATATGATAAAGGAGGATTTAAAATGCGATATCCAAGAACATATCTTTCTGTAGCACCGATATTAAGTACTCTCTGATTCGGTTTTTTAGCGGGTTTATTGATAGAGATCAATCGTTCTCTTCTTGTCTCCGACGTATGTATAACAAAGCAACTTTTCATTTTTTTCCCGGGAAACAAACAGATTATTTATTTATTTGGGTTTTGGTTCTTGAAACTTTAAATGTCAAAACTTCAAACAGATTCTTCTTTATCAACGGAAGAAGAACAAGTTTTTTTTTCCTCTTTCTTTATCACCGCCTCCTATGTGATAAACACATGCAGACACAGACTAAACTTTTGCCAGTTTTTTGTTTTTGGAAACTGAGTTGAATCAGTCGAGATGTTGTTTTCTTTCTCCAAAGAAAGGAGAAAGCATTTGTTTTTTCTTAATGTAGAATTTCACTTTGGTTTGGGAAACATTTTCCCCCATTGTTCTACTTTTTATCTTTCCTTTTTTTTTTTAAATTTTAAATTTTAAATAATTAATTTGTTATTATTTTAATTAGAAAATCATTTTTTAATATTATACCTATGAAAGGTGGTATTTAATGTCTGAAATTAACTATCCATCACGGTCTAACCTAAATTGAATTACGAAATAAAACGTTAATCACCAAACTGAAAAAACGGACATCCGTTAGACACATTTTTACGTTTAAGCCTAAACCAATAGCCTATCTACCACAACACATCAAACCGATAAGCCCCATGCCAAGCAGAGAGCCCTGTTGGCCAAACTCCCAGTTCTAAGCTTCATCCCTTCTATCCTCAACTTTACTAGTTCCTCAATTTGTTTAATCAACTCCCCTACAGTGGCAGTGACAGTGACAACTTCATCCCTTCTATCCTCAACTTTACCAATTCCTCCATTTGTTTAATCAACTCCCCTACAGGGGCAGTGGCAGTGACAGTGGCAGCTTCATCCCTTCTATCCTCAACTTTACCAGTTCCTCCATTTGTTTAATCAACTCCCTTACAGGGGCAGTGGCAGTGACAGTGGCAGCTTCATCCCTTCTATCCTCAACTTTACCAGTTCCTCCATTTGTTTAATCAACTCCCCTACAGTGGCAGTGGCAGTGGCAGCTTC